ACATTGTTTCTGTGAACCATCTGTTAATCATCATTATTAATGTACTATATAAGGTCAGTCATTCAAATTTATTAATACGTGTATTTTTTGGCATGCATCACATGTCAATTAAGTAGTGCTAAGGATCATCATTAATCTACCCATTTATCGTTATAAAATTTGTAACGGTAAATCAAAAAAAAAAGTTTAATTAACATAGTAATCCGTGCTTCACATAGCATAGCGGGCTTTATTATGATTGGCTTATTTTGAAGATCATCTTATCACTTATATGTGTCCCGGATTATTCCGAACAAAACAGCAAAGACAAAAATATAAAAAACGGCTATCTAAATCGGTCTTGATGCACTAAGTAAAAGTGTCGGAAATGCGATTTTACTATATATCTATTAACCTCCTAGTAGTTACAAATCGAAAGTTGAAAAAATCGATTAGTTGGTTAGTTGACAACCTAATCGATTGAGCATTTTAGACACCAACTAATCGATTAATCGGTTAATCGACTAATCGATTAGTTGCAACTAATCGATTAATCGGTTAATCGACTAATCGATTAGTTGCAACTAATTGACTAAAGAATTAATCGATTGTTGCAAATGAATCAATTGAAAAATTATTTATTTACTTAATGAATTAGTTGCAACTACTCGATGAATCGATTAATCGATTAGTTGCAACTCATCGATTAATCGATTAGTTACAGCTCGTCGATTAATCGATTAGTTGCAACCAACTGGAAAAATAATTAACCAACTAATCGATTGAAAAAATTTTACCGATTTGTAACACTACCTCCTAGCCTATTTCTAACCCTAACCCTAATATTAAGTATTTTTGTTTTGTCAACGTTTCTTTTAAAGTATTTTACGTTATCCGGACTAAAAACTCATATTGGTGCTTTAGGCGGTACAGAATGGGGTTGGATGATCTTTGTAGTTGTGGTTGTCATGATTAGCAAAATATTTGGCTATAGTGTTGCTGCTAAAGCAACGGGTTTTACTTATAAAGATGCTTCAACAATTGGGGTTTTTATGAGTTGTAAAGGGTAATTATCTGAATTATCTGTGTTGTCACCAAATTAAATTACATAATATAATCTTTGACAACATTTATATATTTATTATTCGGAATTCTTATGTTTTATATAGTGCTGTAGATTTAATCATTCTCAATATTGGTCATGATACAAAAATTATAAATGACAAGGTATTCGCAATCCTGGTTATAATGTAAGTTTTTTTTTTTTTTTAATGAAAAGAAAAGCATTCATTAATGTATCCATTTAATAAAACCAATATAGGGTTCCAGTAACTACGTTCATTACAACTATACTCGTTAATTATCTACATAATCAAAAGAAAATCAGATGTTCTAATCACAAGCCAACAAATTCAGCACTTTTAGTTGTATTGGCTAAGTTTGAAAATCTCCCAGCTATGATGACTCTTATACAACTTTTACAATCTAACCAAGTTTCCGATAATCATTTTGGTTCAAAAATAAATAAAGTCATTAAACCTATAAGTGTTCACGTTTTACGTCTTATTGAGCTTACGCAACGTATGTCAGCGGTAATGAAGTTTAATGAAATCTCGGAGACTAGTTTACATGATCCGATCATAAATACGTTTTCTGTATTTAGTCTAGTTAGTTCGGTAACTGTTGATGCTAAGTTAGCTGTTGCTTCTCCAAAGGATTTTTGTCAAGAAATTACTGAAAAGGTACAAGATATTAATGCTAATTTAGTAATAATTCCATGGAACGGTGCCGGCGAGATAATAAACGCACCAATTGAAAGTGATCAGAGTTATTCCCCACATGAAAAAAAACGCACAAGTCTACAAGTTGCAAACTTTATTCAGGATGTTTTTAAAGAAACAACAATTCATGCAAGTGTGGGTGTGTTTGTAGACCGTGGTTTTGGTAGCACTGATGATACACGTACACTTTCTTATCCTATGGGTTATATTCGCGTTTTTCTACCCTTCTTTGGTGGTGCTGATGATCGTGAGGCACTCTCCTTCGCTTTTAGATTACTTGATTGTCCAAATGTCATAGTAACTGTGTTGAGAATAATAAAATCAGAAAATCCTACTGATAATGATGTCGCATTAAGATCTAATAATAATTCTTCTGAGGTGCAACTCGAGACCCTCGACTTAGAAGGCGAAAATGAACAACCTTCACTTAAACAGAAGATATCGACTAATAATAACTACGCTGCTGTACGTCATTTAAATGGATTAGATGAATCCTTTTTGGAGAAGCACTTAAAATCCCGATCTGGATATCCTACGAGAAACCCTCGTATAAGTTATCAAGAAATTTATTCTCACACACCACTACAAACTGCAGTCGAACATGCTAAAGAAATCGTTAATAGAAAAGATTTAGTTATCATAGGACGTAGTCAACATTCGATTATAAATGAACATTATCCTCATGCTGAATTTAAAGAATTAATTAAAAATCTAGAGAATTATGGCAACGATACACAAAAATCTTTAGGTTATGTTTCTGAAACGTTTTTGGCTGGTGGTATTACGGCAAGTTTTTTAATATTGAAAGCCAAACAAGTTAAAAATGATTAAACCGATTAATTAATGGATGCACAGTGCAGTATAATTAATTTTCCGGACAATCTGGATTTCTATTTACTGTATTTTGGAAATGTTTTTATTACAAACAATTGGCATCAAATTTGGATTATTATGATATTATTCATTACTATCACCGAAAAAATATCACCGAAAACTTTCTTCTCGACTAATCATGCAAACGAATCTAATTTATCAAAACCATCGAATCAGAAATTGAACCTTGCAACTTAAATTAAATAATGTTTAGCAAAGTTCTTGATAGAACTTAATTTATCATAGAAAACAAATTATTATACGTAATTTTCATTTATTATGCAATTTATTTATTTTTATTTTTTTAGATATCTTTTATTTGAATAGCCGCAATGGTAATGATATATGATGCTGAAAAAAAATCCATGAAGGATAATGCGACAAAAAAAGTTAGGCTACAGTTATGTAAAATTGTATTACAGTATTAATGAAACCATATTAAGTGAAAAATGATCCAGAACCAACTTTACCATAATGCATACCTATTTTTAATAAATTTTCTTTTTCGTAATCAAAAAAAATCAATAAAATTAAAAGTCCAAAATTAATAACTTTGAAAATAAATAGTCTAAATTTAATGTAGTAGAAATGCCGCATGTACGTTTTTGTATGGTGGTAAGGTTTAAGTCTCTATTCTACGCAGTTAGAGTTGTCTGCTGCAAGGTTGCAACTTTGCATCTTGTTAGAATTAGCTGCAACCTTTGCAAACCTTATTTTGCCACGATTAGGTACAAGATCACAGTGCCGCAAGATCAAAAAAAGATTGTAGAAATCAATATCACAAATCATACAGTCGCAGAATTGCTAAATAGTTATAAGTTATGTAAACTAACTGTATAAAAGTTAGCATATAATTTATTGTCGCGGCTGATGCTGAAATTCGAACCTATTTTGTTATGAATTTTTAAATTTTTTTTGGGGTGTTTTTTTTCCGCTTTTTTTAGGGTTGGGTTAGGATTTAGGGATAGAATTGATAATTAAAGAGTATATGTGGATTCTAGCAGAGCTCATATTTTCAAATCGAGGCCCTAGATTTTAGCATCAGTAGTGCAACTGTAATTGGTGCAGGTGGCCTTTCTACAGCCCGTATCTCAAGCCAGAAACTTGCTGCCTAGTTAGGTTCACCACATGATCGAGTTGGTATTCCATTGATGGATTAGGATTTATCTTGGGTTTGTGTCAACTAGAACCGGTTTGCATTCCTTTATTTTTCATAAACATCTAACCCTCTCACTTATCTGCCCAGGCATTACTAACCTGTATCTCAAGCCAAGTTTTTGTTACTGCTGCTGGTTTGCCACCCCAGGACTTAATGTTCTTTTTTTAATATAGTGGTTCTAGTTAACCTATTTGTACTTCCTTATATGGTGTATTACCAGAACCATATTTCATAATAGTGTTCCTATGAACTGAACTGAACTTTTGGCCAAGTTCAAGTTCAGTTCAAAATTGAACTGAACTTGAACTTGAA